CCTGTGCACTCGAAGACCAAGTGAAGGGCCTGGTTCCTCCCAGGGGAATTCCTCTGTACATGCAGGAAACCCATTTAAAGACCGATGCTGAGCAGAGCCAGCCTTCTGAGGGAAGGGGAACCAGAAAGCCCTGGGAAGGGACTGCGAACCGACAGTTCCCCAAGCTGTCCCTGACTCCTGCAGTGCACCTGTCCCATTGGGCGTCTCCATTCACGGTCTGCACTCAGCTCCTTGAAGGGATCAGGCACAGTCAGGCCCAGGATTATGAACTCTCTCCCCTCCTTCCCTGGAAAGGCCTGGCGAGAAGGAAGAGATCCATGTGCCCACCCGACCTCATCCACTTCCAGCTGGGCTTAGGATTTACTTTTTTATTTTCAGGCCAACGTTGAACATCTGGTGCAAAAGATGAAAACAACTGTGAAAAGGGGCTTGGTGTTAAGGTAGCTCATCCAGTTTGTTCCTGAGTGAAGAGGAAAGGTCAGGTTTGGCCCCAGCCCCGAGAGTAGATCCATGGTTGGGACAACCTGAGGAATCTGCGGGTGTTCAGGGAGAGAACCTGAACCACGGGGGAGATAAGCAGGGAAACAGCAGCCTGCACAGGCAGAAAGGGGTGGCGGGAGTGGGGTGACAGTGCAGGTCACCGGTGCCTGGTCTCTACCCGGCAGGAATGAGAAGTGCAATGAGAACTATACCACTGACTTCATTTTCAACCTGTACTCTGAGGAGGGCAAGGGCGTCTTTGACAGCAGGAAGAACGTGCTTGGCCACATGCAGCAGGTAGGGAAAGACACCTGTCGTGCCCCAGCCCCAAACATCCACCGAGTCTCCCCTTGGCCTCTGATCTGCTGAAGGCTGTCAGTGCCTCCTGAGGGCATGAGCCTGCCATCTGTTACAGGGATTTTCTGTTTTCAGAGTCAAAACATCTTTACCCTAGAAATGGCCTTAGAGATGATGTGGTTCATCCATCTTCATTTGGGACAGGGTTTCCAACCTCTGCACCATTGCTATTCAGGGCTGGATAGTTCTGTCACAGGGGCTGTTCTGTGCATTGTGGAATGGCTTAGCAGCATCCCTGGACTCCACCCACTAGATGCCAGTAGCACCCCCTCCCAAGTGGTAGCAACTAAAAAATGTCAGCAGATATTGCCAAATGTCCCCTGAGGAACAAAGTTGTCTCCAGTTGAGAACCACCAATTCATTCAGATAAAGGAAATGAGGCCCAGAGAGGAGAAAGAATTTTCTTGGGGCCACTCATCAAGCTTGGGCACGAGGCAGAAAGCCTAGCCCAGTGCCCACCAACCACTCTGTGCTGCCCTTTGTAGGGAACCCGTGGAGTGCAAACAAGAACTTGTGTTGGGCTCCATCTCCGCCAGCTACAGTTACAAGGGGAAAGGAGTTCTTTTCTACCCCCCAACAATGAGTCCCCACCCAGGGTGGGCATGGTACCTGGTGGTATTAGGCCTCTCCATCCCAAATGGCTCCAGCTGATCCCTCTTGAGCATCGACCTTTGACCTTTCTCTACCCACAAATGAATTCCCAACATCTCAGTTTGAATGAGCTTCCTCACCCCTGTAGGAGTTGGGCCCCATTGGATGAAGATGAAGACCTGTTTCATGGCTTTCCTTCCTTCCCACCTTCCCACCTACTTTGCTTAGTTCATAGAAAAGGTACATATTTTTCTGAGGTGCCGCTAAGGTCATCCAAATGGTCACAAGGAACACTTAGTGCGATCAGTGACAGTGACTGACTGAAGCCGCCAGGCTGCCAGAGGGGCAGGGAAGTGTGGCCAAGCAACAAGTAAGCCTAGAAGTAAATGAACAGGATCTAGTGGCTGTGGAGCAATTGTGAGACTATAATCATTTCCTGTAACTCATTAGCTACTCTTACACCTGACAAATGGCCACATATTTCTGGACTCCTGTTCCTGGCTGTAAACTCAGGGCCTTTTTTCTCCTTTTTCCCTATGTATTCAGATATCTCTCCCACTTCATTAGAGTCCTTCCTGTACTTTTTATGATTCTCTTTCCAGGGTGGGAGCCCAACTCCATTTGACAGGAATTTTGCCACTAAGATGGGCGCCAAGGCTATGAACTGGATGTCAGGGAAAATCAAAGAGAGTTACCGTAATGGTAGGTGGGCTAAGAGGTCAGTCCCTCGATAGAGGCTGGTCCCCCGGGATAGAGCTGACTGAACATCCCTTACTGCAGGGCGGATCTTTGCCAACACCCCAGACTCGGGCTGCGTTCTAGGGATGCGTAAGAGGGCCCTGGTGTTTCAACCAGTGACGGAGCTGAAGGACCAGACGGATTTTGAGTGAGTCCACCTGCTCCGTGGAGTGGTTCCCTCCCTGGCAGTTTCAGCATCTGCTCTTTCCAGCTTGCTCACAGGTGTAGGAGTGACACCACTCATGTCACCTTCCCATCTGATGCCCATGCCCTAAAATCCAACCTTTTTTGCTCAGTGTCTCACTGAGCCTTTGCTGGAAATTGACTGGGGTGCCCACAGATTCGGTCATCATGTGCCTCATTCCTCTGCAGGCACCGCATCCCTAAGGAACAGTGGTGGCTGAAGCTGAGGCCCATCCTCAAAATACTGGCCAAGTACGAGATTGACTTGGACACCTCTGAGCACGCTCACCTGGAGCACATCAGCCGGAAGAGGTCTGGAGAGGCTGCCATCTAAGCCTCTCTGGAGTGAGGGGCATGGAGTGTCTGGTCGTGGTCTTTTCACCCAGACAGATCCAAGTCCATGTACTCAAAGTGTTTTAGCTCACATTTCACTAGGTTTCCTTTTCTTCGGTAACTGCAGCCATAGTCACCTTTGGCCAGGGGCTGGAGCAGGGGCGGTGAGTGGGGCTGCTTCTAGGGGGTTATCATGGTTTCTGCCTATTTCACCTGTTGCACAGGCTGCGCTGCTCCGGTGCCACTGCTAAACTTCAGTGACTCGGAACTTTCCTAAAAATAGGCTTTATTTATTCCTTTGTGACAATAGAGCCTTGGTCCCTCTGCTGCTTTTACTACAGTGACAAACACTAACTACACTAATAAATGCCAACTCGTCACTGTGCACGTGGTTTTCATGTTACCGTCTTCACATGTGGAATGTGGTACTGTCAGCCCTACACACCAGACTCTGCTGCAACAGACATCTGGGAAAATGCAGCCCATGTGATCACCCATGTATTTCTACCTTCTGGATTGCTTTTCTGCAGCACCTCTAGGCTCTGGATATAGGGTCCTAGGACCCAGCACACTGGTTCTGACCCTCATCCCACACCAGTCCCTCCTGTGCCCTCTGCAGCCAGCAGAACACTCCTGTCTCCCTTACATATAAAGTTGTGTTCCACCTCTTGGTCATATACCCATTAACCAGGGTTGCTTTTTTCCAGCTGTTCAATGCTCTCTCCTCTTCCTTTGACATCCCAGGGTTCTTCCTTCCTTCTCAGCTTTTCCCTTGTACTCCTTCCTGGATGAAAACCAGATTCCACTGTGGGGAAACAGGTACATTTTGAAAGCCTGGGAAACAGTCACTCAGTCATGGCCCTGGTTCGGTGAGTTAGTTGAAAAGCTGCTTTGGAAAGTTGTCAGTTCTTATGCAGTTGATTGGTTCCGTTCCATAACAGCAGCTGCCTCCTCATTAGCAAGTACCTGTGTGATACAGGTGGTCTTTTGCCCAAACTGACAGGATGGCGCCCTGTCAATGCCAGGTCTCATTAGCTTCCAATAACCAGATCCCATCTTTCAGCACAGGCATATGTATTCCTCCCAACACAAAGTTTCCTCACTTGATGTAGCAGGAAAGAGGCTCAAGGCTTTACCAGGGACAGAGGAAGGGATTATTTTAGTATATCACTTTTGCTGGCTGTCCGAAGTATTACCTCTATGCCTGAAAAGGGTTCTATTCAATAGTGACTGGAAAGGCTTGGTAGAGTCCAGCATTAAAGCAGCCTTTAAGGGGAAGATTAACAATAAATATCAAGCACCATGATCACGGAATCATCAAAACAGCCTATGGGGAGGGGTGATGACAGCCCCATCTCAGAGATGACACTAGGGCTCAGGGTGGTTAAACAATATAAAAAGTAGCAACAGTAGAAATTGCCAGACTTGCTTGGAGAACTGTTTATTTCTTTTTGTTTTTAAGAGAGCAAGAAAACAACAGCAAAAGGGCAAAGCCGACATGCTTTTCCTAGTTAGCTGTGTCAGCAGAGCCCGTTCATTTTGATCGCGGAGTTCCCAATCAGTTTTTTTAAAAAGGGTTTTCAAATTTGCATAGGGCATCTAAGATCAGTAACAACTTGATTTAGTTTAGGTAGGAACATAAGCAAAAAGGGTACTGTTGAGCCAGTGCTGTTCACCAAGTCATCTTTTATAGGTAGGTGGGTCATCTCAAAAGTAGCTCTTATACTGACCCCACTGCCCTGCTCCCCCAACTCCAACAGTGTCTAGTGTCCATCTGGGAAAAGCAAAGTTTCCCAAACAACTGAAAGAAAAATAACTCCAAACTGAGCAGCACGAACTTCCTAGGGGAATAGAGACCCTCAGGAAAGGGCAGCCAGCCCTTCTCTTCCCCTCCTAGAGCAAACACCTCTGTCCAAGGTGCAGGGAATGCTGAGCTCATTAGAGAGAGAACCGCACTGAAAGAAGTTCTTAGGACATTTAGTTCCTACTGCTTGGAACCTGCTATTATGTGCGAAGCAGCAAGGCCGCCTTTCTGACAACACGGCTGAGCTGCTGTAACCCTCCAGCACACCTGTGGGAAAGGGGCAAAGGCTGCTGTTCCCTTTGGTGGCAAGAACGGGCCGTCCCTTCTGAGTGCCCCATGGCAGAGCCCTAGGAGTCTCATCCAGCCCAGCTCAAGGTCTGTACACCGTCCGAGCCTGTAGTATGTTCATCTTTGGGCCACAGTAGTAAGCTGGGATTTCCTTAAGCCTCTTTATAGATCAGTAAGATGCTTCTAGAGGGATTCTCCCAAAATGTTAATCATGGCTCCAAAGGAAAACCAAACAAACATCCTTTAATACTCTTCATCTTCCTAGAGAAATGTAGTTGCACTATGGACCTTTTCTCTAAAGGGCAGGGAGGGGCTCTTCTTTTGCAGGGTACAGTAATGAAAGCCAATTAAGCAATAAACAGAAAACAAAAGTGAGTGATTTGTTTTTGTTTGGTGGTTTGGTTTGGGGAGGGAGGGTGCCGTAGAGGTTACTGTGTGACATGTTGCCTCAAAACATAAACCACAACAGGGACAACTGCTTCTGTTCTCCGAGGCAGAGATGGCACTGCAGGCAGAAAGCTCACCCAGAGCCTCCTACCTGAAGGTGCAAGTGTCTCCTCCAGGCTATTCCACAAGTAACAGGTATCCCTTCAGAGAAGCTGGTAGTGGAAGGCCCTTCACGGCATCTGGCAGATACTGGAGTCCCAGGCTACGGCGCACAGCATAGCGAGAGAGTGTTTTTAGAGTTCCTGGGGCTGAGCATAGAACAGTCAGCTTTTCACATAGCTGCTGGTCTCTGGCCACTTCTCGTGGCATGGTGCCATTTTTCCTTAATTCAAAGTGTCCAACAGCTCTGTGGAGGAGCTCAAAGCAAGAGTCCTCTTTCTCGGTCCCAAGTCCCCTGACCAGCAGAGCCACCAGGCGGGAGATGGGTGTCTGACCTTTTAGGTTGATGACTCTGACCTCTGCCCCATAATCAAGAAGGATGCTGATGCTCTCCAGATTGCCTTTCATGGCAGCCCAGCTGAGCGGGGTGTCATTGTTGTAATCCAGGGCATTGACAGAAGCCCCACTCTCTAGGAGGGCCCGAACACACTCAGCATTGTTCTTAAAGGCTGCCCAGTGCAGTGGGGTGTCTCGGTTGCCATCCAGGGCATTGGGGTTTGCACCATACTCCAATAGGACTTCTACACAAGCCTCATCTTTCTCAGCTGCATAGTGGAGGGCTGTTCGGTTGTAACCATCCAGGGCATTCACCTGTGAAGAAGGAGGAACTATAATTACAGTAGGTAAACTACTGACAAGAGGACAGGTAGGCAAAGAAGCTTGCATGTGCTTATCCACTACCTTGGCTATGAACATGAGGGTCAATAAGCAATTCCCAGAGAGAGTCTCGGTAATCAAGACAGAAACATAACAGGAGCTTAGGCGCAAATAGGAAAAGAACTGGCCCCAAACAACCAATACTCCATTACAGGCATTGGTTAGCTGGCTTGCATTTCTTAGGTTTTTGCTGCTATGTTCTTATTTACTTTTCACTAGACTCTCTACCACAGAGTCAGGGTCAAAGAAAGAGAGGTGAAGTCTAAGTCCTTGTACCTATTTTGGAAGACATTTACTGGAAACCAACTTCAGCCAGATTAAGGGCCTTATTTTAGTTACCCCGGCTCATGTCATCCTGGGGCTGGTGGCAACCAGACTGAAAACAACGAGGCCACAGCCCTGCCGCCCACTTAGCTTTGCTGTATTCTTTAAGTGCATGGAGAAGCCCCTCGCAAAAACATGCAGTGGGGTCCCAGGAGAACCTGGATGGGAGCATGTGGAGGAAAAAGCACAAATCTTCTAATGCTGAAAAAGCAGCTAGCTTGCTAAAAATCAGCATCACTATAATTTCTGAAGGCTACAAAGATTCAAAACCCAAATTTCCCCCCATAAAATGCAATAAAGGAAAACATTTTATCAAGTTAACTTTCTATTTGGCTAAAAACTGTCTTTTTTCCAGGATATTTTCACTTTCAGCATTGACAGCTACTGGCTTTCATTTCAGGGTCACACAGCAACAGGATGGGATAATGACACATGGAGAACAACAAGGCTGTGTGGTGATAAGGATCTTGGGGCTGCCCCCAGGCTGCCTGCCCAGGCAGTCTGGGGCCAGTACATCCGCTTTACCGCATGTCTGATTCAAGTTTGCACCTCAGCATTTGCACCTTCACAGCTGCTCACAAATAGTCAAAACAAATAATTTATTTAACAAGCATTTACTTAGTAATTACTACATGCCTGTGTGCTGAACACTTCACAACCTTACAAAGAATATATCATTACCACCCCCATTTTACAGATGGGGAAACTGAGGCAAAGAAAGGTTAAGTAATTTGTTCAAAATGACACAGCTGAAAGTGAGAGAGCTGGAATTCAAGTACATGAAATCTGGCTCCACAGTCTATTTTTTTAATCACTTATTATACTATGCTGCTTCTTGCTAATGCCAACATAATTAATCTACGTTTTTATCTTAAGATACTCACTTTAGAAAGAAGACAGGAACAAGATACACTAAAATGGAAAATAAAACAGTGGGTAGATATAGCACAAGTAGCCCAATCCTGAGACAGGGATTGCCTAATAATATTTATCTCCCACTGACCATGTTATTAGGTGGTATTAGAAGTATGTGTCTGAGAGCAGGTCTCTTATAATTTAGATTTAATCAGAGTAAATGAGCCTCTGACCTTACAGCTCCTGAAGTCAACAGGCAGCAAGAGGACTAACTGGAACTATGCAGAACAGAGGTTGGCTGGGAGAGAGGAAATAAAATTCCCTTTTCCTGACGTTGGACAGCTTAAGGGTGAAAGACAAAGGAATGGAATCCTTACAATCATTTCATGTATTTACCATTATATTTTGCTTTTACTATTGGCTATGCCAATGTTACCATGAGCTAGAAAGCATAAGAGATGGGAAAAGAGACAAGGAATTTAAAGAAAATGTGAAGCTGAAGTTTTAGGGAATCATTAATGTGACAGTGTTAAAAACATTACCTCAGCCCCTTTTTCCAGGAGTAACTCCACACAATCAGCATCCGACACCATGCAGGCACAGTGCAGGGGTTTCAGTGTGCCATGGGTGCAGTTCACATCCGCTCCCTGCGGGCGGAGGAAATGCCAATCAGTGTACAGACAAGACTCAGGACGGAAGGGAGTTCTAACTCTGGCTGTACTGTAAACATGCAATTGGACCCTGTTCTATTCCGATTAAACAATAATTTGGGTATTATACTGCTCAATATCCAAACCAAGAGAACACACTGAAGATGAATGAAAGGAACTGTCAATTCCTTAGATCAAGTTATTAGGTTTATCCACAAGGTGGCCTGCCAGATGGTCATTTGGACATCACTAAGGACATAACCTTTTGGTAGAAGCAGTGGTAACCTTATTATCAGGCAGTAAAGCTGGAAAGGCAGTATACCTATGGCCATGATGCTCTGAAAAGACCAGGATGATGAATCCGTCAGACTGAAACCAAGGAACTGTCATGCTCTTTTTGCCTCACTACTAGTGAGGTCATTTTAACATTACCTTTTTGTTTTTAAACCTCTCCAAAGCAGCCTTTTAGTGTCAGCATTCCCTGCCATCTAGTCCCTGCTTGTATGTCTATTTCAAGTCTGATAAAGGAGGTGCAGATTCCGCAGTCAGTCTACTGCATGGCTCCGCAGTAGAGCTAGACTTGGAACGTGACAAAGTTTCTACTGCTGGGTCTTTTGATACCACTTCTGCTGAGAACAAGCTAATGCTAATGATGTATGACTTTTTCTGTGCACAACTCTGAAGCAGCTAGAGCACCAGGCTGTCGATAAAGATGCTAAAATTGTTTAAAAGAATGTATAGAAGTAACTATTTGGATGCATTTTCCAGCAATCAAAAAATTACCCTATAACTTTTCCTCAACAGGAATAATATACAGAGAAAGGTATCAAAGACCTAGGAACCTAGTCATAAGACAGAAATACTGAAAGCAGTGGTTAGATACCAGTTAAGGTGTTTCTTAAGTCAAAAGCCACCATGCATTTTAAGGGTTGATACTCTCTACAGAACAAGAAGTGGTAGCTGTTGTGAAGACAGAAGACAAGTGGTAGCTCTCCATGTAATTACTATAAACGACAAGGATTTGAAAACCACTTCTGCTTTGCTTGCCTCCTTCCCCTCTATAGTACATGTGTGGAAGACTTTGAGCTTGCTGGATCCCATAAGTGCCATATCCAGACAGAAATTTTATAAAAAACATGAGACTAGGATTATCTAGAACATACTGCCTGAAATAAAGGTATCAGATGCACAAAGTGAAAGGGAGGAAGGAAGAGAAGCAAAACACAGGGAAGATACATTTTAGTGCTCAAGTTAATATATTTAAGAAGACTGTAACAACTCCTTGTGATCTTGTGCTGAGTTAAAGCTTCAAATCTGTAATAATCTATTAGGATTCCCAGGAACTTTCCTGCTTCTCTCCCAAAAGACTCTCATCAATAACAGCACACTCACCCCTCTGATGAGATCCTCTACGTTGTCATGCGGGAAGGAACGAATGGCAGCGATTGTTCGGATTAAGCGCTCTGACAGAGAGTATTTGCTCTGAATGCTCTGCATAATATACCACATACTGGAACTCATCAAGGCTCAGAGTACGTTCACATGCTCCAAACTGCCTGAAACAAAGAAGTTTAAGGCATTCACAATATCACTGAGCATACCTGTCCTTAGGATTAGGAGTCCTCTGAGGCCTTCCCAATAATAAAAGCAGACTTCAAAGACATTAATGATTACATTTTCTTAAGCATAAAGTAGTAGATTATAATAATTGCTTAGGGAGCTGGTTAAACCTGGATGCAAATGCTCTGACTCTCAGTTCTGTTCTCTGACCTAGTCTAGCATGGGATTTCCCCAAGAAGCCCCAAGGCCCCCATGGAGCTCTGTGTGGTTTACAAACAAGATTAGGCAAGGAAGGGGAATTCTGAAAGGCTAAAGATGCCAAAAAACCTTTTTTCCTTCTCTGGATTTTGTGGTCATTGGTATCAGCACCACTTTGGTTATTTGTTGCATTTGGCCTCACAGCATGGTTGTATTCAAACTGCTGCACCATCTATACTTGTAATCAGTTGGAAGGCAAGGTCCTTGTCTTCTTTTTTTTGCCCAGGGAAGACCAGCCACAGAATTTTACAAAAAAAAAAATTGGTGACTGGCTTATTAAAGTGTATAGAAGTGATCATTATCTGCCCAAAAAGAGGGAAAAGGCTCTGGAGCAAATACACCTGTTAATAAAGACATGGTGTCTGTGAAACGCTTTAAAATGTCTTCAGCAAAGGAAAAAAAAAAAGGGAAATATTTGAAGTAATATTCTAAAATAAGGAAAGCAAAACTATAATTACTCTGGCATCATCTATATAAAATTAGAAAAAAATTCAAAGTTCAGTGACATATGCTTGCAGCTGTAGGAAAACCAGAAGATTTAAGAGAAATGAATTTTAAAATTTAATAATTGGCTGTTCATGACAACTGAGAGATAGACTGGAGTAAATGTATGCTGGAACCACGACATGATAAAGAGTTCTGGGATGGATGAAGCAAATAATGCAACATACTTAAATCCAACTATGATGAAAATTTTGGCTGTATAAGAGCCATCTACTAGTTGGGGACCCTACAAAATTATAGCAAACAACGTGGAGCATTTCTACGAAAAAGCATATATTAAAAAATGTAGAGAAAATATAGCATACAGCATCAGCTCTCTAGGTGAGAGAATCCCTGTTCTTATTAAACTATACTTTTTAAACTTGGAGGTAAATACAGTAGTATTTTCAATAGTGCTTGGCATATGGCAGGTTCTCCATAAATACTTGAGCTAATATAAAACTTATTAGTTTGGATCCTAAAAAAATGCAAGACTTGATATAATTAAACACATTACACATATGATGATTACTAAGGGAAAAATCCTAAAATTATTTTGGTCTTTTCATACTATGTACTTTTTGCTTTGGTTTTGTGAAGGAGTATCCCCTTATACACTATGTAATGTCCTATAAACTCTTAATAGTTCAATCTTGCTAATCAGTAGCTATTTTTGTCTAAGGTATATAAAGTACTAATGAACAGAATGAAGTTTAAAATTCAATTCAAAGGTATCGATGATTAAAATTGGGTATTTTCTCCCCTACTTCAATTCATTATGAATGAATAAGCTTACACATTTGTTTACATGTGTCTCTGAAATTTGCTGGACAGTTTAGCTTGCATATGTTTTAGTCTCTCCAATAGCCACTAAACTCAGAAACAAGGGTTTGTATCTCACACTTCTTTGCTGCAAAGAAAAAGGAAAAAGAAGACAGGTGCATTTGAGTCGGCGATTCCAAGAATGGGGGCAGAAGACAAGCGCATCTAAAGTGTAGGGCTTAGACTGTAGTGGTTCTATTAACCATTTCTGAGCCAGTCTGAAGGAACTAAAACCTGCAGTCATTTTCGGGGCGCTCTTGGACTCTAGGCTAATAACTCCTAACTCAGCATATGACTAGTGGTTCTCGGCTGCCGCCTCTAAGCTGGTGAAGAGAGAAGCTTGGCGGCAGACTGACCACATTCACTGTCAAGAAGGGTCAAGGAAATCTAAACTCGGCCTCTCTCTGGACAGCAGCCCCGTGCGGTTTGCCCCAAGCGGCCTCTTTCCTCTGCTGGAGCTGAAAGCCCTCTCTCCCTCCCTCGCTGTCGCTTCCGATCCAAAGAAAACAAGAGGTTTCACTGCGAAGCAAGGAGCAGAGTGAGGAAGCGGCGACAGTCCCCAGCCCCGCCGCGCCTGCCGGTCGGACTCGCCGAGCTCCATCCCGCCGAGGGGCCAAGGGCAAGGGCATCGAGCGAGAACGTGTGCCGGCGCTCTCTGCTTGGTCTTCCTAAAGACCGCAGCAACCCCGAAGGCCTCCCGGGGCCGGCCCCGCACGGCGGTCGCTCAGTGCGCGCTTGGAGAGCCCCGAGTCCGACCGACTCCCTCCCGGACCTCCCCGGGCCCGGAGCTACGTCTCAGCCTGAGGGAAGCGGAGGAAGCACTGCTGGGCGTGGTGGCCCGGGCGAGGGTGCCCGGGGCAGGTGTACCCGCCGCGAGGGCCGCACTCACCGGGCCGCGGGGCTGAGCGGGGCGGAGACAGCAGCTGTCAACGCGTGACCCGGAAACAGAAATCGTGTCCCGCGGCCCGCGGCGTGCGGGCTGTGAGGCGCGGCTAGGCCAGCGCCTGCGCGCCGGTCGGCGTCCGCAGGGGGCTGCGCCTGCGCAGACCTGGGAAGCCGTCCCCGTTCGACGGGCCGCTGAGGCGGTTGCTCGCTCCTCACCCAGAGGCCCTGCGCACAGGCGCAGCGTGGCCCTCTCGGCCTCGGCCTCGAAGAAAGCTCAGGGCGGGGCTGCCGGCCGTCCCGGGGCCTCGCTGCCGGGTCCGTCCATTCCCTCTGCTGCGCGGCCGCGCGCCTCGTGCCCGCCGCTCCCAGACTCGCTGCATTAATCCGCTGCTCGGGAGGCTGCGCTTGTAGTAACTGAAGTTCCTTGGCAGAGAAAAGAGCCTTAGAGCATTGGTCATTGTATTGGAACGTCCCTGTGTTCCTCTGCCGCCTCCTGGGTGCTGTGCACCCTCCCTCCACGGAGCTGTGCCAAGGATGAAAACGACCGCCCCAAAGGTGTGACCCAGTTGCGGGCGCCTGAGAAAGGAGTTAATGCTGATAGCCCTTCCCGCCCAGTCATGCCGACACCTCCGAGTGACGGGCTTTGCAAGCAAAGCGTGAACACGGCGAAGCAAGAGGTACACAGCTCATGGAAAGGGCAGAGTGGCGCACACAGGCCGACCGTTCGAGCAGAGATCCACCCAGCAGCCTATTTGACCAAGTGCCCGGTACCTGCTTCCCGAAGCTTGGCCTAAGCAACAAAGCCTGACGGGTGTGAGAGCCCAGCACCGCCCAGGTAGTTCACACCCATCAGCGAGGGGAAAACGTGCTATGAAGCAAGCCTCCTCCGCGGTCCAAACCCAAAGGATTTGTGCTATGCAGGACTGTGTCTCTTACCTCCTGCCACTCTGCTAGGGTGAGATTGTCCAATTTTTCAAAAGAACTGAAATCCAAGTTTTTTCTACAAAAGTGAATCCTCCCAAACTGCAAATATTGTCCACATTAAAATAAACAAACAACCAAACCAGTCGTTTTTAAAATCAGGCAACTTTCAGCCTGCAGGCCACCAGTCCCAGCCTCTGGATTAAAGGCTGCTTTGCTCATAGGCGGCTCTGTGGAAGGGGGTTTCAGGGCAGACCTTGGATTGGGAGGGAGTCTGGGGAGTTGATCTGAAGCTACATATCAACTACACTGTGTTTCATTCAAGATTTACTTGAAGGAATCTGAATAAAATTATGTGGAGGCTAGGGTTCGCCCACCTGCATTCCATGAAACTCAGCAAATGGAAACAGTTTGATTCTGTGCCCACTGCCATTGCTTCTAAACCAGAATGTTAGGGCGTCAAGAACGTTTGAACCTCCAAACACAAAGGCAAGAGATAACTTGTGTTGGTGCTGATCCAAAATGGTGGGGGCCAGGGGTGGAGAGGGATTTGTTCTGTGAACGTAAGTCCTTTCTGTAGAGGTCCGAGCCCCGGCCGAGGTCGGACCCCAGCCCTTCTAAGATGACGCTCACATCCGGTAATGGCACATTCCACGCATCCGCTCTGCCGAGTAGGAGAATCCCCCTCCCAGACCTTATAAGTAGTTCCCTGCTCGTGCACACTGCATGATTTCTGCCCTGTCACCAATAGAGTTAAAGGTCACGCATGCTCTCCCCTTTGATTGGTCTAGGAAACATATATAGTGGTAATAGTAGGGAAAAAGAGAAGCCAGGAGAACCAGAAGCCAGCGAGCCATCCTGTAGAGACGAGAGGAATGAAATTAGAGAGAAACTAAAAGAGCTCTAACTCATACTTGCCTGCGTGCAAGCTGCAATCTTTCTGTAACACCACCTGTGAGAAGAAGAAATTAAAGCTGATTGAAACCGAACCAGGTCTCCTGTGATCGCATCGACTGGACCCATGGGAAGCGGGCACGATACTTTCTGGCAGCTGGCAGAGAAGATCATAGGAAAAACAAAGCCACCTACACATCTTGTCCAGACCTAACTTCGTTTAGGTCAGAACCTCTCAAACACCCATGCCTGGGTCTAGAACTGTGTGACTCATTAATAGCCCAGTGGTATATTCTCCCCTGAGGATCTCCCCTTGGATCTTACTTGGCTGGGGAATTAATGAGATAAGACTCAGAGACACAGTAAATTCCATCCCACGACGCTGTCGGTCCAGGCTGCTAAGTCACCCGCTCTCTAGATCCAGTAAGGTGGTGGTCTGCTTGGAGCCACCCATAGCTTCCTCAAAGTGGAGCATAAGCCTCACAGCTGACCTGTTGAGGGGTTGGTAACTGCTTCTCTGGATTTCATCTTAAGTCTAGCTCTAGTGGGTCCACTGCTCTGTCTCAGAGAATCCTCTGAACAAAAGGAGGAGGTCCCCCCCCTGTACACAGCAGAAATGATAGAGGCCAAGGAGCAGTAGATGAAAGCACTGCCCCTGCAGGGCGGCAGCTCCCTTCTATGAGGCTCCATGCCTTGGCTGCTCAGTGTCATGTGCCCGGTTCTGAGACTGATAGTTCCTTCATTCCACTTCTTTGGGCACCAGTTTTCTCATTTGTAAAATGAGGGAACTGGCTGGAATAATCTTTAAATATCCTTCTATTTCTATAAATTCTGAATCTACCTAATTCCTAAGCAAAAATTTCAACTTCCAAAATTTTTACTCCCTAGTCCAAATAAGAACAGCTTTATGGCTATTAGAATACTACCATATCGTGGGACCTGTGAAGGATTAATTAGAAGATGGCAAAGTCTACACAGCTTCTGTTACCTTTTTGCTTCTGGTGCCTCCTTCCTAGAGCAGGGTAAATACAGTGCTGACTCCTAGCTTCAGTTTTTAAATGTTATCTATATTATAAAAATGGTCAAGCTTACCAAAACACTAGAATAGTATGATTATATCCTATTATGATATCCTTATATCCATCACCTATATTTAACAAATCAACATTTTGCCAATTATTTTTAATCTAATTTTTTGTTTCTTTATCATTTTGTACAGCCTTAGGGTTTTGAAGTGAAGAACTCGGATACTATCCACAGTTCCTGCAGCTTTGAAGGGCCTTTTTTCAGAAAAAAAAAAGCCTTGATTTGATATCCCGTAAGTATTTTTAAAACCTGAATTATCTCATGTTTATATGTCCATTTCTTCCTTTCTTGAAAAGGGACTGTCTTGCCAATGGGTTTCAGCCCCGGGCAAGTTCGCTATGGAGTCAGTGTGACCAAAGAAAATGACAGCAAAGAAATTGGGGGTGAAAGGGTTATACCCAACTTTATTCTCACAGTGGCAGGTCAGTCACTAGAATCCCGTTCACTCAGCAAGTCTGCATGCAGCAAGCCGGTCTCTGCCTCTGGGCCCCTCTGTCCGCACAGTCGTCCCGCACAGCTGTCCTCTGGGCCTCTGTCCTTGGGGCTGCCACCCTCCAGCCTCTGCTCTCCTGCAGCCTTGCAGCCCTGCCACCGTGTCACGCCCAGTGCACCGGGCGAAGCTCTTTTTATAGAGTCAACAGCCATGTATTGCCCACAGGTGTGCAGTGAGCTAGTCAACCACGGCCAGGTGAGAATCCTGGCCACAGGAACTCTCATTTTTATCCATAAGGATGAATATTTTTTCTGTGTTGTCTCTTCTCTCAAAATTTCCTGGTTGGCAAATGCTAAAGTATAAAAATTGGGACATTCCCAACATCTTTGTAAGAATGATTAGTCTCTCAGAGTGATAAAACAAGCCATCCATTAAATTATTTCAGTGTCTCTGAGGATCTGCTGCACAAGCAGAGGAGTTTTCAGACTGGCTCATTTATACATTCATCAAACATTTACTGGAAACCTGCTTCACTGCATGCTCTGCTCAGCAGTGCAAGGAAGACAGACGTGGAGAGATACATTTCCCTATTGTTAAGGGTCAGAGACAGATTTTTCAAGTAATTGCAATAAAGATAATTACATCAACAGTTTTCACATGCAAGTCAATGTTGAAGAACAATTGTGCTGGGTGAGATCCAGAGAGCATAGAGATACCAGAAGCCAGCGAGCCATCCTGTAGAGACGAGAGGAATGAAATTAGAAAGAAACTAAAAGAGCTCTAACTCATACTTGCCTGCGTGCAAGCTGCAATCTTTCTGTAACACCACCTGTGAGAAGAAGAAATTAAAGCTGATTGAAACCGAACCAGGTCTCCTGTGATCGCATCGACTGGACCCATGGGAAGCGGGCACGATACTTTCTGGCAGCTGGCAGAGAAGATCATAGGAAAAACAAAGCCACCTACACATCTTGTCCAGACCTAACTTCGTTTAGGTCAGAACCTCTCAAACACCCATGCCTGGGTCTAGAACTGTGTGACTCATTAATAGCCCAGTGGTATATTCTCCCCTGAGGATCTCCCCTTGGATCTTACTTGGCTGGGGAATTAATGAGATAAGACTCAGAGACACAGTAAATTCCATCCCACGACGCTGTCGGTCCAGGCTGCTAAGTCACCCGCTCTCTAGATCCAGTAAGGTGGTGGTCTGCTTGGAGCCACCCATAGCTTCCTCAAAGTGGAGCATAAGCCTCACAGCTGACCTGTTGAGGGGTTGGTAACTGCTTCTCTGGATTTCATCTTAAGTCTAGCTCTAGTGGGTCCACTGCTCTGTCTCAGAGAATCCTCTGAACAAAAGGAGGAGGTCCCCCCCCTGTACACAGCAGAAATGATAGAGGCCAAGGAGCAGTAGATGAAAGCACTGCCCCTGCAGGGCGGCAGCTCCCTTCTATGAGGCTCCATGCCTTGGCTGCTCAGTGTCATGTGCCCGGTTCTGAGACTGATAGTTCCTTCATTCCACTTCTTTGGGCACCAGTTTTCTCATTTGTAAAATGAGGGAACTGGCTGGAATAATCTTTAAATATCCTTCTATTTCTATAAATTCTGAATCTACCTAATTCCTAAGCAAAAATTTCAACTTCCAAAATTTTTACTCCCTAGTCCAAATAAGAACAGCTTTATGGCTATTAGAATACTACCATATCGTGGGACCTGTGAAGGATTAATTAGAAGATGGCAAAGTCTACACAGCTTCTGTTACCTTTTTGCTTCTGGTGCCTCCTTCCTAGAGCAGGGTAAATACAGTGCTGACTCCTAGCTTCAGTTTTTAAATGTTATCTATATTATAAAAATGGTCAAGCTTACCAAAACACTAGAATAGTATGATTATATCCTATTATGATATCCTTATATCCATCACCTATATTTAACAAATCAACATTTTGCCAATTATTTTTAATCTAATTTTTTGTTTCTTTATCATTTTGTACAGCCTTAGGGTTTTGAAGTGAAGAACTCGGATACTATCCACAGTTCCTGCAGCTTTGAAGGGCCTTTTTTCAGAAAAAAAAAAGCCTTGATTTGATATCCCGTAAGTATTTTTAAAACCTGAATTATCTCATGTTTATATGTCCATTTCTTCCTTTCTTGAAAAGGGACTGTCTTGCCAATGGGTTTCAGCCCCGGGCAAGTTCGCTATGGAGTCAGTGTGACCAAAGAAAATGACAGCAAAGAAATTGGGGGTGAAAGGGTTATACCCAACTTTATTCTCACAGTGGCAGGTCAGTCACTAGAATCCCGTTCACTCAGCAAGTCTGCATGCAGCAAGCCGGTCTCTGCCTCTGGGCCCCTCTGTCCGCACAGTCGTCCCGCACAGCTGTCCTCTGGGCCTCTGTCCTTGGGGCTGCCACCCTCCAGCCTCTGCTCTCCTGCAGCCTTGCAGCCCTGCCACCGTGTCACGCCCAGTGCACCGGGCGAAGCTCTTTTTATAGAGTCAACAGCCATGTATTGCCCACAGGTGTGCAGTGAGCTAGTCAACCACGGCCAGGTGAGAATCCTGGCCACAGGAACTCTCATTTTTATCCATAAGGATGAATATTTTTTCTGTGTTGTCTCTTCTCTCAAAATTTCCTGGTTGGCAAATGCTAAAGTATAAAAATTGGGACATTCCCAACATCTTTGTAAGAATGATTAGTCTCTCAGAGTGATAAAACAAGCCATCCATTAAATTATTTCAGTGTCTCTGAGGATCTGCTGCACAAGCAGAGGAGTTTTCAGACTGGCTCATTTATACATTCATCAAACATTTACTGGAAACCTGCTTCACTGCATGCTCTGCTCAGCAGTGCAAGGAAGACAGACGTGGAGAGATACATTTCCCTATTGTTAAGGGTCAGAGACAGATTTTTCAAGTAATTGCAATAAAGATAATTACATCAACAGTTTTCACATGCAAGTCAATGTTGAAGAACAATTGTGCTGGGTGAGATCCAGAGAGCATAGAGAGGGAGGGTCTGTGAAGAGGATCCTCGGGGGAAATATGCTTGTGTTGTTGAGTGCCCATTCCCTTCCCACCCAGACGGAGAAGCTGTGCTGGGGCTTCAACCTCCTCACGCCTAAAGAGTCACTTCCGTGGGACCAGAGAGTTATTAAAACACAGAGAACCGCACTTACTTTTGCCCAAAGATTAAAGAAGGCAATAGTGCAAGGCAGAGATGGGGGGCATTGGGATCTGCCAGCATTCCCAGATTAGGCAGGCATGACAGATGTGTAATGTGTCTCTGGGACAGATCTTGGCCATTTAGTAGACAGTCAGCATGGGGTTGCCTTTGGCCTATCCAAAAGGGCTGTCTGGAGGTGTGGAAGGACCTAGTGGCCCAAAGCTAGAGATGAATACAGTAATCCTAGAACCCACAGAGATTGTTGCCAGCAAACCCCTGCATCTGTTTTGCAAAGGGACTCAAGTGAGAGGTCTCTGATGAGGCTTTACAAAGAACCTGTAAAAGTACCATACAGAAAGAAGTCAGCTGCTGCCACCTGCCAGACCCAGGTAGTACAGCGCCATCTATTAAAACAAAACTGACCCATCTCTTGGCTGTCCTGCCTCCTCCCACTTTCACACAGCAGGTCCAATAGCAGTTACCTATGGGGGAGGAGATAAATTGAGGCGAAAATTGAAGGCAGGAAGCTACCAGCCATAGGAGGCCTTATGTGGGGAGGAGGAGAAGGAGAAGTCTTAGACTGGTACCTTAGAATGAACTCTGATTTGATTACTGTCTTGAACTGGAAACATTTTGATTACTAAATCAAGACTATTTTTTGACTTAAAATGACTCTTTATTAAAAGATTGCCAATTATCAAATAATGAACCAAAAAGCCAGGGAGTCTGCCCAATTTTCCAGTCAGGGACAGGAGATTATCCCTTCCCAATAAATATTTTTAAAAGATGGTAAAGGCCAAAAGATAAAGTGATATTTGATAAGATCCCATGAATCTTGCATTAAACATCCCAGTTCCATCTCTATACAATTCAGTTTGTTGTTTCTGATCTTCATGTGTTGATTACAAGTGATTCCCTGAGTTGTTTTTACTTTTTAAAAACATGTTGTGTCTCTCCTCAGAGTTTTAGGTCATCATTTCTTCTTCTCTCCCCTGCAAGTTCCAGTTCTGCTCTCAAGAAGTACTCATTAGATGTTGTTGATTGACAGTACAACTAGTGTACCTATTTTCAGACCTTGGCACAAACATGAACTAGAAATTGGATAATGATGTTTTGCTTGTTAAGATTGCTGCTGTCACTGTTCAGCATGTATTAGTGTCCAGTCTCCTTGGGCAGATGCCATCGAGCTGTCCCAGATTATAGGCTGGGTGTCTTTCTCTTTGAACCTGTGGCTTCCTAATGGCCACAGGCTTTTGTACAGCTTCTTTTTGGAGTGAAAAACTTCCTACACCTGTGGGCTCCAAACCTTTTCTTGATTTCAAGTGTGATCCTCTAGGGCGTGAGTGCGCTGGAGGAGAGAGATTCTGCCTTCTACTTAAGTAACAGGAAACCTTTCACAACAGTTCCCTGGCTTCTGGCCAGGACTCATCGTTGCTCTTCTGTCTAAAAAGGCCTCATCCTTCTTCAGGGGCTGCTTGGCTAATGGTGGCAACAAAACTTTCCTGACATCCTTCCTAGAGAAAGGTGACTTAAAGAAGTGAGTCAGTCATTCCAAATAAACTCTTCTACAACCACCAAAGAAAAAGAAAAGAAGTAAAAGGAAGTTTCAAATCCCCTAGGAGGAAGGAGAGAGGGAATCTGTCAAAATTAACAAGTAGGGTGAAAAAAAATAAGATCCAGGTCAGACTAATTGGAGAAAAATAGCTTTCCTTCACATATACCATAGTGTATTTCTCTTTACTTTGAATTTTTTGTTTTTAGTGTTATAGCTTATAGCATATTTCTTATTTTAGAAACAGTGTTGCAGCATGCAAACACCTCAGGGACCAAGTTTCCAGTTCTGATAGTAGCTCTAGTACTTGACCTGTCTAAGCAAGTTACCTATCTACATCTAGTTCACTCATATGTGAAAAAGATGAGAAGACCCACCCCAGTGGTTTTCACAAAACTTGGAGCACATTTGTGAAGAGCAGTTTTGTAGACGATATAAATGCTGGTTCTTATCTATGTCATCTTTGTAATATTTTGTTTGTTCAAGGAGGTCACCTAATGTGCTGCTGCTCTTAGCACCTGGGAGGCGGAGACTTAGACTTCCTGCATTCACCCCCTGCCCTGGGAGCACAGCCCTGGACACACAGCAGGTAATGGATAAATGCACACTGAACTGAACTAAAATAAACTCACCTCCCAAAGACAAGAGTAGCGGAATGCCTCTGTGAACTGGTCCCTGATCCTGAGAAAGAAGTCAGAGACACATTTAAAAGGAAAATTGAAAAGGAGCTTTGGAAATAGATCAAAGAAAGAAAAGTTCAGAGAAATATAATGTAAGCCTCATGAAACTTCTCATATACTTAAACTTTCTGCTAGAGAAAGTTATTCAGCAGAAGAGAGAACAGTGCTGGTGTGCAGCAGGGGTCATCTCCCAAGATGTGTCCTTAGGCTTAAACAAAGGCTTCTTTCAGAAATTGCTCAGAGGTAGACATGCTTGCAGTATGCAAGCTCTACTCTTGTTCTTTCTCTTTTTAACTTGCCCCACGATTCAGGGGAATTTGTGAATCACTGTTTCAAAAAAATTTTTATCATTAAATTTTATTAATACTACCACTTTATTAATTTTTGGTCTTACAAGTTACTAGTATTTTCCACTATCAGAATAATTTTTAAACATTTTGAGACTTTGTAGAGAAAGATTGCTTGAGGAATTTTGTAAAATATTACAGGAAAAATGCAAATAAAAATGTTAGTGATAATACTTAAATTACATATGCATGATACTATCTTTCCAGGAATGTGGGCAGTTATAGCTAAATTACCTAGCAATCCAAAACTAGAGGAGACAAACTCTAGCAGGAGAGACTTTATGATTGTTCCAGTGACAGTTAACAGAGGAAATGACCACTTGCTGGGTACCATTGGGTGGTCCAGACCTATCTGGAGAGTCATACTAGCAAGGGTATGACTGGATTCTCTGAATCAATTTCAGAGGTTTGAGAACCAAGTTATGGTTAATCTCAAAATTTTATGCTCCTCTACAGCCTTGCTATTTTTAATAAGAGTGTGTCTCCCCCTGGAGGGAAAATAGGGAATTTGTTCCTTTAGGTTTCTTACTCAGCAAGTTCAGTAATTAGTTCTTGGTGCGTTCATTCATGATTCATCCATTCATCCAATAAATATTTATTAAACCCTATCACTATGCTGTTCGTCATGAGAGAAACTAAAGGCTCAGCTGAGAATAAAATCAAGACGGTTCCTACCTCCAGGGAAATTACAGTTTAGTGTGAGAAATAAACATCGAAGAATCACCATCATGTCTCAATAACCACAGTAGTTATAAGTTCTATAAAGGAAAAGTGTAGAGGGTTAATATAGCCCTTAAACAGAGGGCCTCAGTAAGACTGGGAGGTCAAGGGAGACTTTTCTGAGCACAGACCTGGACGATGAATGGATAGAACCAGATCAAAGCTGCGGATGAGGTGCAGGGAGTGGGCCTTCCAGCAAATGGACAAGAATATTCAAAGACTCCAAGGGGGGAAGAACTTAGAAGTTGGAAGAAGAATAAGAGGCCAGATGATAAGGAGGCAAAAGGCATCAGTTGAGGCTGGAAAGATAGGGATGCTCCAAATCAGGCAGGGTCTTAGAAGACATGTTAAGGATTCTGAGCGTAATCCCCCCAAAACAGGAAACTGTTGATAGGTTTTATGTAAGTGACATAACTACATCATGTTTTTGAAAGATCGCTCTGACTTCCTGATGAAGAATTACAGAAGTATTTTAGAAGGCAAGGGTTAAAGTAGGTAAAATAGCAGTTACATAATGTAGGCAAGAAACAGTCGGGGTTTGGACAAGGATAGTGGCCTTCTGGAGGGAGAGAAGTAGGGGAATTTGAAGTATTTTAAGTCAGAATTGGTAGAATTTGGTGACTGATTACAATTTGAAGATGAGGGAGTGCAGTTTGCCAAGAAGACTCCTGGATTTTTGCTGTATGCTCCTGGATTAATTGAGGAGACATTTATAAAGACAGGAACTGGAGAAGAAACTCTGTGTGTGTGTGTCTGTGTGGTGGGATCTGATCAAAGATCAGTTCATCAAATATTTTCTGACATTCCTATTATATGTCAGGCTCCATGTTTGGCCCCCGACACTGGAAATTAAAAAGTGGCAGTAAAACAGGATCCCTGTCCCCAAGAATCTTCTGGCTAATGGAGGATAATGAGACCATTAATGGATTATTTCAATATAATATAGCTACACTACAGTGAATAATGTCCAGTAGGATCCCAGAAAAGAGGCACCTTAGCACAACCTGGGGGGTTCACAGAAGGCTTTTTAGAGGACATTATAACTGAACAAAGCTTTTTAGGATTAGAAGGAGTAAATAAGATAAAGAAAGGTGGACTTATTTTTTTTCCACAGGAAAAAGAAGGAATAGCTTATTTAGACCAGTCATTCCATTGAAAACAATTAAAATACAGAATATAAGAAAATTTTAAATCTCCCTAGAAGTACCCAAGATGATTTCAAATGGGATTCTTTAAATATCTATAATCTCAGTTCTATTCCAAAGCACAGAAAAAAGCAACTTCAAAAATCCTTAAATAAATAAAATGTTGAAACAAAAAATCTGATCCTGTATAAAAGGGAAAACTACAGACCAATCTCATTTATGCATATAATGCAAAAATCCTAAATAAAATATTAGCAAATGGAATCAAACAGCATGATATGTCATGACCAAGTGGAAACTGTTTCAGGAATGCAAAGCTGATTCAATGTTGGGTAATACATTAATGTATTTAAATAACGTTATTATATGTAAGGAGAAAGGCCTTGCAATCATCTCTGCAGATGCTGCGAGAACATTTGAGAAAATTCAAGATTTATCCCTAATCAAAACAAATTTCAGAAGAGGACTAGAAGAGTATTTTCTTAACTTGATAAAGCATCTTGCTTACCACATCTTACTATTTTCATGAGAAAACACTGAAGGCATTCCTGCTAATATCTGGAACAACATCAAGGATGTCCATTATTCTTCCAATGTCTAACGTGGTGGTGTAGGTTTGCCACAGCACTACTACAGAGGAAGCAAGTAGATGTGTGAGAACTGCAGATAGTGTGATGTGATGGTGTGCCTAGAAAATGAAAGCAAACCAGTGCAGGCTACTGCAAGCAGGAAGAGGATTCAGCAAGGGAGCAGGAGTAAAAGCAAGTTAGAGAAGCCAGTAGGCTTCAAAATCCAAGGAGGAACCAGTTACAAGATAAGATGGTAAGATAAGAAGAGAACATTAGCATCTCATCTGTAATAGCAACCATAATTACAAAACTCCTACGAATACAGTTAATAAGAAATATGTAGAAACCTATGAGGAAAACTTTATAAATCTCCCCCCAAACACAAAAATTTGCTCACACAAATTAAAGACATACCTTAAGTGAATTTCTAAGCTTAATATAATTCCAATAAAAATTCCAACAAGTTTTTGTTTGTTATTTAGTTAGACAAATTGACTCTCAAGTTCATATTGAAGAGATAAACAAGAACATTCAGGAAAACCCTGAAAAGAACTGAGAAGAAAAAATACCAAATATTTAAAATATTATAAATCCTTCATAATTAAAGTCATGTAGAATTGATACATGAACAGACAGACACATTAATGGAACATAATAGGAATTCTAGGCAGCAATCTAATATGTGAAGAAATTTAGTATATGATAAAGATATGGCAAAACAACGGAAAAAGTGGACTTTACATAAATGCTGTTGAGACAACTGGGTATCATTTGGAAAAAAGGTAAAATTGGATCCATAGTTTATATTGCATACCAACATAAACTCTACATGGATCTGTTAACTAAACACAAAAAACCGGAAAATTTATGGTTATTGTATCTATTATTATATTATAGAAGAAAATATGGATGGACTTCTGAATTATCACCCATGGGTGTAGTGGGGAAAGCATTTCTATGACTCAAAATCTAGAACCAATAAAATATATAAATTCTGTTACATAATTCTTTTTTTTAAGCTGCATGGTACAAATACTGGAAGTAAGGCCAAAAACAAATGATTCACTGGACAAAATACTTGCTATTTATACCATGGGAAAAAGTGAATCTTCTTACTGAAGAGCTCCTAGAAATAAAAAGACATAAATCCAGTGTAAAAAAAGCACAAGACATGAATGGACAGTTTAAAAATTCATGCAGGTGGCCCTTAAAGTAGCAAAACCTACTACACTCATTCAGAAAAGAAAAGCAAGTAACATAATATTTAGATCGCATTTTTTACTCTGTTAGCAAAAATCCAAAAGTTTGAGAGTGTACTTCGTTGCCAGAGCTCTGGGGAAAGAGACACTAATATCTGTGTAGAATGATACATCCCTGAAGGAGGGGAATTTGGCACTCTTCAGCAAAATTACAAATAGGTGCAGTCACTCTTTATATTCTGGGAATCTATGCTAAAAGTACATCTACACAAATGTGAAATGATATATGCTCATTATTCATTGTGGCATTATTTTTAATGGTGGAAGACTAGAAATAACTTGGATACTACTAAGATGGAGGAGTTGAGAAGTTAAGTGAATTATGGTACACAGTGGGGCACTACGGATATAAACAGAATAGGGAATATTTCTGTTCATTGCTATAGAATGATCATCACAGTGTGTGAAGCAAGGTACAGATTGTGTGTATGGTAGCCACTTTTTGTACAAAATGAAACATTGAAGGAAAATCGAGAAGCAAATAAAAATAGTTACTTATAAGGGGGTAGGGAGGGGAAACTCAGATCAGGGGATAGGAATGGAACAGATTCCTTTAGTATACTTTTCTATGTAGTTTGGACTTTAGAATCATGTAATTATTTTACATATTCAAAAAGTAAATTAAACCAAAAAAAAAAAAAGGAAAAGAGAGCAATCTTTAAAATTTAAAACAAATGAAATAAACCTAAATGTGTATGATATCGGTAACATAACCGGTAACATAACATAAAATAAAAGAAGATTTATTTCAAATGACTTTTGGGTATAGGACTTTGTCTTGTCTTAGTGGGACATATTCTAAGAACAAAACAAACTGCAAAGAACCCTTAAACTTCATTCTGTAGAATGGACAACTTTCTAGAAAAATA